AAAACGATTTTCAATTTTTTTGTAGTTTATTGCACTTTTTTGCAATTTATGTAATTACTATGCACTTAATGCAGACATATTATTAAAATCTGGGCTGTAATGGTTGTATTGATGTATAGCAACTTGAAATGCTCCCAAAAATGGCTCCACAGCATGTAAACATATAAAGACAACTCTGACTTGGTTCTATGGTCTTAAAGGGTTAAACATTCAAACTAAACGCGCCGCTCTGGTGGCGTTTGTACCTGCGCTCTCTGCGTGATGAGCTGCGATGCGTTGAACTTGGCCACCACGCTCTTCAGCACCTCGTTGACGATGGAGGGCAGCACGCGCTCGTCGTAGTCCTGTCCCAGGTGCTGGTAGAGGACGGGCAGGTTGGACGCCAGTGGCCGGGACAGAACTCGCAGGGAGACGTTGACCATCTGCAGGTCTGAAACAGAACCAGTCAGAAGCTGAACATCTGTGACAGCTGCTGACTAACCAACCGCACCTCTGCTGGTCTGTGAGCTTCACACGACGGCACATGTTTGAAGCTCATTCATGATTCTGCACCGGCTCCATTCACACCTCTGATTGGTCAGAGTTAAACCAGCTTTGTTTTTATGTGAAATAATCCACAGATGGTCACAGTAACGTGCTGTGGCCATCTGTGGATTTATTCCTATAGTTTATAGGCTTATTCCAAAAGTCTCCAAACTGTTGACTGAACATTATATTGATCTGTTTCACTGATTATCTGAAACCAACCAGCTGTTATATGAAAACACAGTGAAGTGTCTGTAAACATTAAAACCTGTGGAGTTTCCAACAATGCTGAGAAGCAGCTTTACTGACACTTAATGATTAAAAGCTTAATCTAAGACTTGGAGGACAACCTGATGCGTCCTCGAGGCTGCAGGACTCTGAAAAAGTCTGAAAACTGGTTATACTGGTTCAGTTATATGACGGAGGCGTCTGACCTTTGCTTCCAGTGAGAGAGGAGATCTTTCTGGGTCTGGCTCTGATGTCATAGATGATGGGATACTGAAACCAGGGCATCCTGAAGACAGACACACAATCACATCAGTTAGTTTGCTCATCTGGTTTTTCTGCATCTGTAAGTCGTTTTTATTAAACTAATGCTGGGATCCTCAGAGGTGTTGGGGGCTTCATGTGCATCTACTCTGCAGGACTTCTTTTAGTGCAGTTTCATGGAAAGGAAGAAAGTCGGAGGACTGTTTGTCCCTGAAAAACCTGCTGCTTAACCAACACTGATCAGTTAAACTCAAAAAGGAAAAAACTATTTTCATAAATCAACAAAGAAAAGGTCAAATTTAGAGAAAATTTAATAGAAAATGAGATTAGAGAGCCGGAGATGTATCGAGGAGGCGCTGATGAAGAGCAAACGGAGAATTAAAACACTTTCTGACTGTTGTACAGTCCCGCCCACACCTCCAAACAGCCACGCCCATTAATATGAGCCAGCACGCAGCATCAGTCACCTGTCAGTCAGTACGAGCTGGTTGCTATGGTAACCGTGTGGGTGTGGACTCGTACCTGAAGTGGAGTCCCTCAGCGAGCACCGTGTCCATCTGCATCCCTCCGATCCGGTTGAAGATGATCGCCCTCTGACCTCCTTCCACTGCACACAGGAGACCAACTCAGACTGAAACCTGAGCTGCTCTTCAGTTTCTACTGAGCTGACGGAGCCTGAAGCTCCCACTCAGGAACATAAACCACGAACACAGACCTGCTCTCTGCTGTGTGAACATCACAACATCGCTGCTGACACTTCAGCCTGTTACACCGAGATTAAAACAAACTTCTGACACCTTCACCTGGTCCAGAGGTGGACGTTCACGTTCACGTGACCAAAGTTTAACATATCGAACAGCCCTACCTGAGAGTAGGGCTGTTCGATATAACAATAAATATCGGATGACGATATAAAAACGTCTATCGTTTCCTATCACGCTCTCTTTTGTTTCGTGGTGTCGTAAAATAAACTACGTCACTGCAGTGGCTATATTCATTTCTTAAAGTTCTCTCTTTCTCTTATATGTAATATAACCACACTACGGACGGACAAGCGCCTGTTTTTATGCGTTGTCATTAGCAACGACGATGGTAACACCATCAAGTGGCTCCGCTGTCCGCCTGTTTGTTTTCCACGTGAACCTTTCACAATAAAGCTCAAGATCCTGTTGATACTTTTCAAAATAAACTGAATCACGTCAAAGATGCAGAGTGTTTACGGAGGAGAAGCAACAAAGAGCCGTCAGGTGCTAAAAAATAAACCTTAGACTCAAACTTTGACAGAAAACGGCGTCCGTTACGACTTATGTCTAAAAAATTTTCATGCATCAGTTAAAACACTCGACTCCAGCTACACGACGCCCAGCTGGAAACACTTCATGCAAATCGAGATTCACAGAATTGACAGAAAATGTTACATTTTTGTGATTTATATCGTTGTCAGGACGATAAATGTCTTATATCAGGATATGAGATTTTGGTCATATCGCACAGCCCTGAGAGTCAAAAGCTCAGACTGCTCTAAATACTCAGTTTCACACAGTTTTTTCCTGCTCTTGGACCTTGAAGATGTCATAGAGAGACCTTACTGTAAACGTGGTCAGCTCACGCACAGAAGTTGGCTTTAAGTGAAGGTAAAACAGCTTCTTACAGACAGCTGAGGGGCGTCGAGGCCTGCGAACTGGGACTCAAGCTAAGCTGCTCTAATAAAAATATAAAACATGGATCTGAACATGAAAGACTTTAATTAAACAGTAAAGATGTTTTAGGTTGTAGTTCGTGAGACAAGAGATCAAGATGAAAATTAATACAAACACGAGCACAAAGCTGTGGATTTTCTGTTTTTCCACCATGAGCCTGAAGGTTTCACAGAGATACAGGAAAGGCCCATTTCCATCCTGCTGAGTTTTAAACATTAAAAGTTTTTCATATAATAAAAAACAGGCCATTAGCACCAGTGCTTGCAGGCGGAGCAGACTTGGCTGCCTGCTAAAAACCATTTAGTGAGTAAATACTTTATATTTAATCACTTCTTGTTTCACAAGCCTGAGCCGACCACCTTTAGACGCAGAATCATCCTCCGTCTGCGTCTGGCTGGGTAACAACTGCAGCCCAACTCCACTTTTCCTTAATCAAAGCTGGAAACTTGCAGAGCAGCTGCTCCGAGCCTGTACCACAAACACGCTTTGATAAAAGGTCTATAAAGAACTCTGTCACACTAAATATGACAGATTACTCCAGGAGAGTGGGAGTGTCAGGGATCAGAGCCCCGGCTGTGCTGCATATCCATGCTTTCACAGTGACTGAGGGTTACCTGTGTATGTGGCTTCCTTCACTGTGTACGCCAGAGCTCCAGCACCAATCAGCAGCTTCAAGCCGAGTCCTGCACCCCGAGGTCCTGAAGACATCCTGCCTGCGATCTGCCGCAGCTGCTGCAGAAAACCCTGAAACAAGGATTTCAGTAAATCTCCCCCGTGCTCGCTCACGCAGGACACTCATGGTCAAAACTCAGTGACCTTGACTCTGAGTGGACAACCCCCCCTCCCTTTATATCTACAAGGCCTGCATGTACCCGCCACAGATACATAGTTAGAGGACACTCAGATTCTCTCTAAAAATAAACTGTTTTTTAAAAAAAAGCAACAACGATGCTAATAACACAAGGCTGGACACGTCTGATCATCTGTCTTAACTTTAAGGACTAAGTTTAAACTCGGCTCATGCAAAAAGCACAAAACATAACTCGATTTAAAGAGAATCAGCTTCTTTGGTTTGATGTGCTAGCTGCGGGTTAATTAGCCTGTGTAACGTCAGGGACTGCAGACTCACCTGCCTGCACGCCTGATGCACCTGAGTGTGTGACGCATACGCAGAATTAAGTAACGGCTTCTAGAAACTTGCAATATTTTCAGTGAATTTACTTCTAATGCGTATACATGTGTTAAAAACGCAATTATTTCATAATCGAGAGAGTTTTAAAGGGACCCCGGCGTCATGTTCCACTCCCACTCTCTACCTGAGTGTAAAGCTAGCTAACCGGCATCGAGCGGCTCTCACGGCCCCCACCTGTGCCTCATTAGTGACTTCAGGCTGGAGGGAACCTGGCTGACATGATTTCGAGTGTAAACCTGCTTACATCAGACTCACGTGTCAGACCTAAAAGCTTTTAAAATGTCACCCAGGTGCGTGCAAAGCGCGGGAAACCCGGAGCGGTTGAACCTGAGCTGAAGGCAGAAAACGCGCCAAACTTTCCTTTAAAGCCGAGTTTAAACTGGAGACTCAGAAACACTCACCCCGGGATCTTTATTCGCCATGCTCGTCCTCTCCGCCTGTTAGAAAACCAAGTGAAGAAGACAAGGTCGCAAGTGATGACGCGTTTCCGGGATTGTGGGGTAACTTGGGAAATGTAGTTTTTAAGAGTATTGGGGCATAGTCTCTATGTATATATATTTAAATATAATAAAATGTTTTAAACCCACCCAAAGTTCTGAGGATGGAAATTAAGGATTCGCTTTTCATTTTTGCCATAATCTACATGATCTAAATGATTCTGAGCTATAAAGTACAAAGTTATAAGAGGTAAAGAGAGTACAGTGTATGATCTCAGTGATGCAGCGATGCCGGTCCTGAGCAGCAGGGGGCGACAGAGGGCAGCAGAGCTCCGGGGTGTCGGCAGCTCCTCAAACCGCAGGAGCACCTGCTGCACATAAAACGGTTATTTTCACACTGAAGTTCACTCAAGTCTTTGTTTCCGTGGTTTGAACACAGTGAAGTCAGCCACTGAAATGTTTCCGTTGTGCTTTCAAGAAGAAATTTTGCGACAGAGTTCAAGGAATTAACCTCAAAATCCTGCTGCTGTGCTCACAAACTGGACAAGTTTACTCATCTTCCTCTAAAGGATGAGAAAAAGTTAGTTCCACATTTTAAACCAATACTAGTCAGAATAATGATTAATAACAATCATATAAAAGTATTTAATAAGCAATCAGAAAATAAAGGCTGACACTAAAAATGTGACCTTCACTAATATATTACACTGTCATGTTTAAACTTTATTCTATTACACTGTTATCACTACGAGTCAACACACATCAATAAAAATAACACTACTGACTCTTCTTATCTCGGCCCTGCATCTGTATTTTTTACTTCCTTCCAAAAATGAAACTTAAAGGCTATGACTTCGCAAATCAAGCTAATGAAGCGACGTATAAAGGATAAATAAACTGGACATATTTAGAAAAATCATTAAACAATTAAAATTGGGAGAAAATAAAAGTAGAATCTGAAACTCTTAAATGTTTAGAAACAGAAAAACGTAGCTTTTTATTTGAAACGTGAGGAGTAAGCTCACACCTGCTCTCTTCAGACTTTGAACACAAGCTCAAATCTCAAACAACTAAAATCAAGCAAAGAATTCAGATCATAAAAAGGAAACAGACACATCCATAAAAACACAAACTTTAAGCCTTAATGCAATTTAAACAGTTGTGTTATAAAAATTATGACACTTGTGTAGATGTTATGAAGGAGAAGATGATCGATAAAGACCAAAGAAAATCCGGCTGTAAACATGCTTATTTCTGCTGTAAAATTTGAACATGGGAGTCCCTGTTGGAGCAGCTGGTGTTGGTGTTTTATTTTTCAGCCTCTGAGGGTCACTGCTGAGAAGACTCACTCAGCAGAGAACAGACTGAGAACATGCTGTAGGTATTACAGGTACTGTGCTGCAGTGGTTTGTATCATATCTATCTAATAGACTCCA